TATCGCAGAGTTTGTATGACTATAAGATGGAAAACGAGTTATGGCTCCGTGATCAATAATAATTATATCGTGTATCATTCATGGTGAATAACACCTGTGTCATTTTGTCATCCGTCTTTTGGTTGTTAGCCAGCCACTTGTTTTACCCTTACCATTGCCTTTCGCTGCCCTTTCCCGCTTTCCGGTTCCCCCTCTCCCCTCCCATACTCCATCTTGATACTCAGTACCAATGATGAGGAGGACATTGGGGGGCTCTGAATACCGAAACACCACACAAACAATTAACAAACACCGCATCACCGCAAAAAAGTTGACAAAACTCCAATGCCGCGATAATTCCATTATTTACATAGTCTACATGGCTTTTTGAAAAGGGAAAAATGTCCGTACGTCATGTAAGCTAGACAATCAATGTGGTGATAAAGGTTAAAGCTAATTTTTGTTCTCACCAGAAGGTCAAACAAAAAACCGCACTAAATTTTGTTTCACATCGAACACTGTAGGTTTAAAAGCACAAACATCGCACACTTTAGGGTTTGAGATCACCGCAACACCGCACGGTGAGATTCATTCACCAAAATTCCGCACAAAAAAATTAGCAACACCACATCACTGCAAACCCCAATGCGCCCTCAATGATTGTGAATTGATCATTGCAACATATCCATATGCTATAAATACAATATCAGAAACATAACATAATATGACAATTGTTGCTTACCCGCTCGAGCAAGGAGCAGCCCTGATTCATTCTCTACCACAATGTCACCGCTGATTTTGCAGAACTTCAGATGTCCTTTTACATCTCTATCACATTCCCCAGTAGAAACACATGCCACGTTTGATGGGTAATCTGTACTCACACTACAAGGTCCACCAACAAGTTTAGAAAACTCACAGAGAGCCATATCCTCGTGAAAAATTTGTCCAGTTGACTTGAGGAATCTGCCAAATAACACTGCCGAAAACTGTAGGATGCAATACTCTTTAGTGGTTAACTTAGCAGTCGGTCATTAGGCAGGATTTGCCGTGCTGATAACACTGCATGAAACAGCGTAAATGCAGCTGTAGAAATTTTCAGGTCTCAGACATGTCATGAGAAATATTGCTTATTACATTCCTATTTGCTAAAATATGACGGCGGGAAATTAAATTAAAATGTATGATTGGAAAAAACAAAATTCAACTGCATTCAGGAAGCAACGACCTAGAGTATCACTCCTTTTAGATCTTCAACTTAAAGAAATCTAGCAAACAGTGGACAGAATTTATTAAATCTGGAGTAAGATCTTTTTTTATTTTCTTGAATCTCAAAAACGTTGACGTTGTTATGCTTCTCCTTTTCCATGTGCTAAAAATAACTCGGCTGGGAAAAAAGATTTAATGCAACATACAAAATCAGCAAATACAAACATACAAATTTCAGAAGCCTGTAGCCTCAACTATTCATTCTTTTGAATCCCAACTCCAAAAAACCTGGCAAGTGATAAGTAATATTACATTTTGTATGATTATTTAAAACAAAGTCAAGGAAGCACTGTCACGCACTAATGTTGGTTCCCAATAGAGGCTTGAATTCGGGAATTTATCGCGATAATCCAAGGTGCGAGAATTTATACCTCTTCTATTGGCTATTTTTTCTAATAAAAAATTGTTTAAAAAATTTACAAACAAATCAGGCCGAGTAATTTTAAAAGTTTTCTCTTCCGACAGGCACTGAAATTTGAATAGTGTAATACGTCGAAAAGACTGAAAATGGCTTGGACGTTTGGTTTTCCCAACAAGCAAGTATTCACGGCTGCCGGTAGATTTTTTATATGACTGTTAGAAATGAAAGGTCAAGAATGACTAATAGTTATTTTAATTGGAAAGACGATGCGCACCAGCTGATATTTTTGCCCTTGGATTTAGGGTCAAATTTACGCAAAACGACTTTGTTTAAGAAGGAGTTGATGTATGGGCCTCTAAAACTTTTGGAAAAGCCAAAGAAAATATAAACTTACCTTTTTTAGAAAGCGTAAATGGCATAATTTTATTTGATATAAAACAGTCTGAATTTTTTTTCTTAACTTGCCTTGTGAGACTGCTCAACATTCGCAAAATTTGCCTATTTTGGGGTTCACGCCAAGACCCATCTGGTTGAAATCCGACATTTCTCCATTTCTCGAAAAATAAACTTTGCTGAACCTTTTAAACTCCATTTTCGAAAATATTTCTATATAGGGATTCTTTCTATGAAATAAAATGGAGGTCTATTTTTTTTAACTGTCGGGCGATGTTTGATATTTGGAGGCAGCAGCTCTTAAATTTAATAGATATTATTATGTATGATGGCATCACAAGTAATGATAAGACATCAGCCAATCTCTGTATGATTTGTTTTTACTGATAATTGTTGTCATCTATGATTATTATGTCAGTATTAATAACATTTTTTTTATTTAAGGGCACAGATCTTGTTTGTCTCTTGCCAATGAAAACTGTCCAAGATTAGACAGTTCCTTGTGGCATTGTAGAGCTTGTAAAACTTGTTATGTGTGCAAGATGGTTGAATGCGAGGTGAGTCATAATATACAAAACAATGAATAAGTTGATGTAAGAGGTACAGTTATAGCATATTAGATAATCATTACTGGTATACAATATTGCAATTCAAAAATTAATGTGCATGTAGCTTTGTATCAAACTATGTTTTTAAAAACACAACTTACACATCACCTATTCAGTATGGTCCTCTGGTGAATCCTATAAGTGAGTCTGTAAGTCTTATTTCATTTTAAGACTTTCTTGCATTCAATGCAAAGAGAACGAGAGAGGGATTTTTTTCTTGAACACTTTAATTTGTGAATAGAATACAGGATGGATATTCATTTAAAAATCACCACTTATAAAAGTTCTATTTAATCTATTTTAATTGGCGGAACAAACATAAAACCATTTCTGACTGAAGCTTTCCAAATAAAATTTCATTTTAATTAATTTTCTCCGTCTATCTGGTTCAGTCATAACTGAACATCTCATATTTAGCTTTCCATCTCTCTATCTTTTATGTGGACAATTTGCATCAGGTATTTCTAATGGTAATGTAGCTTTTTACATAAAGTACATACACCCTAATTTAACTTTCAAATTTTTTATCTTGCAGATGGAGCTGGAGACCTGCGAAAGCTGTGATAGAGCGTTCCACTCGGCATGCATTCCCCACTCACAATCAGTAATCAAGCAATCCCTTCCCACAATTTGTCCTGAGTGTGAATCACTGAACAATCCAGATGATTGTGTTGTGCTGCTACCAGACACACAGACCCCAGATGTTAAAAGGAAGCGAGGGAGACCAAGGAAGATTCATATGTTGGAAAAACCTTTCATTGAAAACAAAGTAGAAAGCTTCCCATTGACCCCTTCTGCAACAGTTGGAGATGATACTAAAGAAAGAAGGTCAGCGAAGAGAGTGAAGAAATGTCCAACATCTGGATGTGATGGGCTTGGTCACATGACAGGAAAATTTGAAATGCATCACACTTTATCTGGTTGTCCAAAATATCATAATATGACACCACAAGAATGCAAGGTGCATACCATACTTAGAAAGTTAGAAAATTTATTTATGGTTTACATATGCACAAGAGTTTCTATTAAAGGAAAGAAGAAATTAAAGTAATTATGAGAATGATCTGTGCAGTAGTGAACACTACTTGCTAAAAAGCAGTAGTGAAAAGAAAGCCTGAAAAAAATCCAGGCCTGCATTGGAGTTGAACCCATGACCTCTACTATAAAATACAAGTAACTAAAATGGCAGAAAAGTAACCTTTTTAATCAATATTCATACAATGCTCGCTAGATACATTGATTCGCTCCTATGGTTGAAAGGCGCTACTTATTTTGAAGATTAGCCCACCAGGGATCAACGTTGTCAGGTTTTATTTATACTAGAGTGAGCATGGCTCGTTACATCCATGGTTACGTTGTAGTCAACTGAAAATTAAATAATTTCGCGATACAATATTATTTACAATATTCTTAGTCGAAGCGACAAACGGTTTCGTAACTTACAATTTGTGTTTCTGAGTAGTTGGATCCCTTGATTCGCTATCTCGATGCTTCCGTTTACGACTGTTGAGGACCAGCTTTGAATGTTGTTACAGCATAAATTGTTCCTTTTAAATTATAAGTCACATGACCTAATTTTCCCGCTGCGCGTAGTCGAGGCGAATTCGCAATTACGATAATTAATTTTAATTCTTAACTACGCGCTCCACTGAACATGCAAATCATACATACATTCCTCATGTTCTATAATTTGCCAATCTCCACACTGCGTATGTTCGTCACGCAATATGAAAGTCACAATATTACATCTACGATACTGATGCAGTGCTTTATCAACTGAGCTGACAAAGCCAATTGGGAGCTGGTCATTTTGTAGGTTCCAGATTCAGAAGATCATTCTCATATTCATTTATTAATCTGCAGTTCACATTATATGAGTTTCATGAATTCACTGCTAAAGAGGAAAAGAAAAAGTGTGGAAGTATATGATGCAGTGACTACCATGAGTGAAAATTTATTTAAAGTTCTACACACACCTGCTTCAGTGTATCATTACATAGCTCTTCCTGAGAGTATTTTTTTTTGTCATCACTAAATGTACTTCCAATTAACAGGAGAGGGCAGATGAAAAGAAAAAGGAACTGGCAGTTTCTCCAGACTCTAAAAAATTGAAAACCAGCACTTCACCTGAAGAGAATCAGCCACCCAAAAAGACATTAAGAAACAAAGTGAGTTATCAACTGAAGATCTATTAAAGATACTTTTGTGCAATAGTTGTGGAAGAGTTAAGTGTTGCAATTGTAGATGCATGTAGCTCAACTGAAAGCCAAAATTTTATCCTCAATTAAAAAGCAAAATGTTTTTTATGTGTATTTGTACATGTAGGTACAACTGTCCTTTATGCCAGAAAAGATCCGTGTGGCTGTAACAAGCAAAGAAATTACACCAGAAGAGCTAGGTTTGCAAAAAAGTTCTGGGAGAAAAATTAGTACATTGTCCAGCAAAAACCATCTTGACATTTCAAGATATCCTTGTGAAAAAGAAGTAAGTGGTAAGGCAATAATTGATCAGCTAGACCAAGAGACTCTGAAAGAAATAGCATCAGAAGGTGATTTAAAGTTGTTCAAAGAAGCTTGGACAAAGGCATTAGAGGCTAATGAAGAGGTAAGAAAGATGATCAATGCTCCTACTACACTAAGTTTAATTTGAATGTTCAGTTGGTGAATGGAAACCATTCAGCCACAGCCTTTACATAATTATCAAAAGCAAATGTTATAAGCAAGTAGCCATTGGTTCAAGATACTGTTGCACGTTATACAGGCGCCATTTTAGCTGCTCTTTTTTACTGTTGCTGCTATTTTTTTTTTAATTTTTATTTTGCAAACAGCACCTGTAGGGCAAAGACTGGAATAAATTGGTCATTTGGAAAATGTGGAGATGAAGATTGAGTCATTATCCAGAATCAAACATTCCAAATTTCTAAAGTTGGTGTTTTTACAGCACAACAGCATGTAAGATCATGAGATACGCAACACTGGTACAGCTGTATTCTTAATGGAAAAGCTCTAAATTGCTTCTCATAACAGTGAAACTGCTTAATAAAATTAAAATTTTTTTTGTGAATAATTGATTCTGTTGTTTGCATGGATTATTCCTTAAAAATGAAAGGCAAACCAATGAATAAAAGTTTAAAATTATATTTGTCTACGGAAACTACAGAGAAAAGTCAGGTGCAAAAATTTAACAACCTTGCAGAATTTCAAACTACGGCAAACAATTTTTCTTTGTAGGAAGTTCTACCTTTGAATGGCAGGTCTGGAAGCCGCTGTATTGAGTTTGGCTCATATGAAGTTGATACCTGGTACTCTTCACCTTTTCCAGAAGAATTCCAGAGATTACGTAAAATATACATCTGTGAATTCTGTCTAAAATATATGAGGAGCAGAACAGTTCTAAGACGACATGTGGTATGTATTTAAACTTCATGAATTAACAAAAGTGTGCTTATCATCTTTTACAAAGCTGAATGGAAACTTATTGTTTGGTGAATCATTCAGTATCAATTCAGATCATTCAGTAAGTTGTAATTAAGTTTATGTAAGGTATGCTTAAAAGGATTGTGACAAACAATGCACCTTTACTTGTACATGTAGAACACATCGGAAATACGGAAGCAGTATTGGCTATGTTAAAAACTATACAAAAATCAACAAGAAAATTAGAAGATGACAAGAATGCGGAAATGCTGAAGTATCTCTCCACAATCTTGAAGTCCAAGCAATTCTAGTTATAAGTGATACCACAGGCAGTATATATTTGCTGATGAATGCCTGAAAGGGAGAACACTGGTTTATAATTGGTTATTCACTAATTAATTGTCAGTTTATGTTTGGTGATAACCATATCTGTTAAAAAATTATTGGTAGGATCTTTGTTGATAGATTTGTTTTTAAATCACTATGAATGTATGCATAGACAGGTAAAAACGAACTATATAAAATCCCGACGTTTCGGCGACTTCATGACGCCATTATCAAGGGTACAAATGAAAATAAAATTAACAAATGCGAGTTCAAGAGTTACAACTAATTTGCATAGGGGAGGTAGCTACACAAATACTTTAGCACGGATAGAATCCGTTTGCACGTTCAAACTCGGTGTTAATTGTTTGATGTAAAGCATCTCGTTGACAAGACAATCGAATTTGTTCATGCACTTCTTGAGAACTTTGAAACAGCTAAGAAGGTCCTCAGGGACAGCACCTGCGTGGTCGTTGTCGTAGTGCTTGCGTACTGAAGATGACGTGCTCTTATGGCTATCCACGCGGGCATATAAATGCCCACGTGTGTAACCAACATAGCTCCCTGTATCGCACAGGTTACATTTAAATTGGTACACTACGCACTGTTGATTAACCAGCTGTGGTTTGGTTTCACATTCTTTAAGGTCTTGGCCAATTTTCCGACTGACAAATACGGGCTGGATTGTGGTTTGGAGCTTAATGCTAAGGTCTTTCAACTGTGTCTTAACAATGTTAGCGGAGTCTTGGTCCTTGAAGGGTATGACTACTCGGGTTACATCATTTTTCGCCAATCTTCCCAACGCCTGCAATGGCTGCTGGTCAGCAATTCTCGAGTTAATAAAGGTGTTAATGGCGGAGTTGATAAGGTGG